CTTTTGTGTAGAATACAATAGACTTTCATATATTGTCTTGCAATCTTGCTGATTTATTAATTCTAAGAGGTTCTTAGTGGATTCTTTAGGATTTACTAGATACAGGATGATCACTGCAAACAGAGATGGTTTTATTAACATTTTGCAATCTTCATTTCTTTATTTATTTTTCTTCTTTAAATGCACTGGCTAAAATCTCTAATATAAAGTTAAATCATAATGGTAAGAGTGGATTTACTTGTCTTACTCCTGATCTTAGGGAAAAAGCATTCAGTCTTTCAGCTTTAAGAATGGTATTAGTTGCATATTTTATGCTCTTTATGAGATTAAATAAGTTCATTTTTTTGCTCTTTATGAGATTAAATAAGTTCATTTCTATTCCTAGTCTGTTGAGTGTTTTATTATGAAAAATGTTGATTTTTAGTAAATGCTTGTTCTGCATCTGTTGAGATGATCATGTTGCAATACAATGTTAGCCTGAAGAATGAGTTGAAAAGTGTTTCCTTTTCCAGAGTTTTTGGAAGGTTTTATGAAGAATTAGTATTAATTATTTAAATGTTTGGTAGTGGTGGTGGTAGGGAAGCCTGAATTTTTTGTTTGTTGTTGAAAGTTTTTTGATTACTAATTTAATCTTTCTAATAGCTGTGCATTCAGTTTTTCTATATATTCTTTAGTTAGTTTTTCCATTTATGTCTGGTTAGGAATTTTTCATTTCATCTAAGTTACTAACTTTTTGACATACAATTGCTCAATAATCCCCTTGTAATCCTTTTTATTGCTGAAAGGACATTAATGATATTCTTTTATTCCTGATTTTAATTAAGTCTCCCTCTCCACTTCACTTAGAAAATTCAGCTAAAAGTTTTGTCAATTTTGTTGGTCTTTTCAAAGAATCAACTTTAAAAATTTTCCTGTTGGTTGTCTACTCTTTATTTCATTTCATTATTTCTTGCTCTGATCTATATTATTTCCTTCCTTTTTCTTGCTTTGGGTAGAGTTTGTTCCTTCCTTTTCACCCTCTGAAGGTAGAAGACTAGGTTATTGTTCTGAGATCTTGCTTTTCTAGTATAGGCAGATACATTTCCCTCAAGCACTGCTTTATTTGCATTTCATAAGTTATAGTATCTTGTGTTTTTTTCCATTCATCTCAAAATATTTTCTAAAATTTCTTATGATTTCCTCTGTTACTCATTGATATTATGGGAATATGTTTTTTACCGTTGACATATTTTTGAGTTCCAAATATGCTTCTGTTAGTTTAATTTCATCCTGTTGTGATTTGGGAATATATTTTGTATGAAGTCATTTAAAATTTTATTTTAACATTTTTAATGCTGTAGGATACGGTCTGTCCTAGAGAATATTCTATGTGTATTTGAGAAAAATGTTCATTTGTTGTTTTTAGCTGTGTTAGATATTGTTGGTTTATATTGTCATTTTTAATTTATATCCTATTTAGTTGTTTAATCCACTATTAAAATTTGCTGATTTCAGTTTACTATTATTTATTCTTGAATTGCCTATTTCTACCTTCAAAACTGTCACTTTGGCAGTTCTGTTGTTAGGTGCAATGTATACATATATAATTTTTACATCTTCCCAATGTCTTGCCTCTTTTTTTATTATGAAATATCCCTCTTTTTCTCTAATATTTTTTGTTTTAAAGTATATTTAAAATATATTTTCTGATATGAATATAATTACTCCAGTATTCTTATGGCTGCTAGTTGCATGATCTATCTTTTTCCATGGTTTTATTTTAATATATTTGTATTTCTGATTCTAGAGTGTGTTAGTAGATCTCTTTCAATTAGTGATGAATGACCTTTTGGTCATTTTTACCAGTGAAAGTGTTGTCTATAATAGGGGGTAATATATTATTTCATTTGTATGATTTATATAATTAGTATTATTGTTTTTTAAATGTTTATATATCTCATATTGTTATCCTGGATAATGTAGTTATATTAATCAGATATAATCCCCTGTTATACAAAATTAAAATATAATTTAACAAATTTATTATCTTAATTTTCCTACTTATTTGAGAAGAGGATAGAGGATAAAATATATTTATTTTATAGCAAGATACCACATGTCTATAAACTTAAATTTGAACTTTTATCTCACTTTTTTTTAAGAGTAAATTAATGTTTTTTTTAAACTTTTTATTTTTTTAAGAGAGAGTGAGAGAGGAGAGAGAGAGAGAGAGAATTTTTAATATTTATTTTTTAGTTCTCGGTAGACACAACATCTTTGTTGGTATGTGGTGCTGAGGATCGAACCCGGGCTGCACGCATGCCAGGCGAGCGCGCTACCACTTGAGCCACATCCCCAGCCCGTAAATTAATGTTTTAAGAAATCCCTTTCAGGTTAACATATAGATTAAACCTTAGTTTTATATCAGTACATTAGTATTTGACCATAGAGAAAACCTTTAAATAGCTTTAACTGATTGTTCTACATACATATAATCAACTTAGTTACACATAAACTTGTTGAAATTTGCCCTTTACTTACATAGACCCCCATGTTGTTTATTTCTTTTTTAAATTGATTCTAAAAAATATAAATGGCAGTGGAATGTGTTACAATTCATATATATACTATATATCTCATAATTTTACATTAAATAATTTTAAATTCTAACAACAAATTTGAAGTTTGCTGATTCAAGCCATTACATCACAAGTTTTGATTATAGTAATAGAAGGCTGCTAGATATTCCCTGTTCTCATGGTACTATCTTCCTTGAAATCCTGTTGAAAAGGAGTGGAAAATTTTTAGCCACTGCAATGTCTCAATTATTTTCTTTTAACATTATTTAGAACTCTTGTAAGATGATTAACATTGTATATGCATATGCTGCAGGAAAGGATAGTTTCTAAAAATGACTCAATAGCAGGTGGAATTAATAAATAAGAATATTTATGAATGTCAACTGGATGAAATAGAAAATGTGAGTTTTTTTAAGATATCTTTTGCAAAGAAAGGTTTAGCAAAATTCAAAGGAGTCAAAGTAGAAACTGTCTGATATAACAATGACTGATAATAATGTGGATAATTTCCATAGGTGATTTGTATAGAGAACTTAACTGTGTGTCAGACACAGTTCTAACATTTTTACATGTGAGCCAAAGATTGGATCATTACATAGACTTACATGAATTGGTGGTACTAATAAAATCAACCTTTATTTATAATTCCAAGGACATAAGCAATTAAGAGGCACAAGTAAAGCAGATTCCTGGATATTGAGAGAGGCAACCAGATTCTTTCTTACCACCATAGATAAAACTCTCAGGTTCAGAGCAGAAGATTTTTTCATATAAGAAATTATATAGACTATCTCATATAGAAAGCAGCATTATAGGCCATGAAATATCTTTATTTTATATCCAGATAATTGTCTAGCTCATGCCCCATGTCCTATAAATCTATAGATTCTAGGTTTGTCATAGTAATCCTAAACCAGAGGTATCTTGATAAAAGTCTTTAATAGAGAAGCAGTCTTTTTTCTTTTCTTTTCTTTTCTTTTTTAAGTAAATGCTGTTAGGTTATTTTCTAACTATTAGCTTGATCATAATAAATTAGGTCAGGCTCTCCAACGTCTGAGAGAGCTTTGTACCTAACAAAACAGGATTCCTTTACTCCTTCCTTTCCAACAGATAAACTTATTTAAATTCAAATTCAATTACTTATTTATTGTTTAGAACAAACAAGGTCAAATATATTAAACGAAGAACTTCTGATATGTTTTAAAAATCTTTTATTTCATGGTTTGGTATAATTTGATTATAGGATTGGGGAAAGAAATATAGTGCTAAATATACAATAAAATAAGTATATTCCCATCACAGATACCTCAATAGTAATTTGTGATTTATTTGTGAGTGTGTTTGTGTGTTGTATATGTGCATGTATACTTCATACATAGTTTTTAAAAAATTTGTTTTAAGTAGTTATACATGACCACAGAATGCATTTTGATTCATTATATACAAATAGAGTACAATTTTTCATTTTTCTGGTTGTACACAATATAGAGTCGCACCATTCATGTAGTCATATATATACTTGGGATAATGATGTCTGTCTCATTCCGCCATTTTCCAACTCCCATGCTCCCTTCCCTACCTTCACTCCCCTCCACCCAATCCAAAGTTCCTCCATTTTTCCCTTCCCTTGCCCCCTGCCTCCATTATGGATCAGCATTATCATCAACATATCAGAGAAAATATTTGGCCATTGGTTTTGGGATTGGCTTACTTAGCTTAGCATGATATTCTCCATCCATTTATCTGCAAATGTCATAATTTCATTCTTCTTTAAGGCTGAGTCATATTCCTTTGTGTTATATATACCACATTTTCTTTATCCATTCATCTATTGAAGAGAATCTAGGTTGGTTCTACAGTTTAGCTTTTGTAAATTGTGCTGTTATTAATATTCATGTGGCTGCATCACTATAGTATGCTGATTTTAAATCTTTTGGGTATAGACTGAGGAGTAGGTTAGCTGGGACAAATGGTTGTTCCATTCCAAATTTTCTAAAGAATCTCCATACTGCTTTCCAGAATTGTTGCACCAATTTGCAGTCTTACCAACAATGTATGAGTGTACCTTTTCCCCCACATCCTCACCAACTTTTACTGTTGCTTGTATTCTTGATAATTACCATTCTGAGCGGAGTGAGATGGATTCTCACTAGAGTTTTAATTTGCATTTCTGTAATTACTAGAGATGTTGAACATTTTTTAATATATTTGTTGATTGATTTTATATCTTGAGAAGTGTCTGTTCAGTTCCTTAGCCCATTTATTTTTTTTTAAATTGAGTTATTTGGGTTTTTTTTTGGTGTTAAGTTTTTTGAGTTCTTTGTATAACCTGGAGATACATATATAGTTACTTCCTTTATTTAAACTTAGAATATTTAATGAATAACATAATGTTTTAATTTTCAATTTTCTCTATTTTTCTCAATCCAACTTTAAAATCAGGATGGTGATCCAGTTCGCCCAGGAGTGGCCATGACTGATCTTGCCACTGGCCTGTATGCATATGGAGCCATTATGGCTGGATTGATACAAAGATATAAAACTGGAAGAGGACTGTTCATTGATTGTAATCTACTGTCATCTCAGGTACCAATTCAAATAAGATTTTCAGTAATAGTTAACAAATATGTGTTTGAGTTACATTTTCATATTAAATCCTATGGTTACATGTGCAAAAAAACCCCACTAAAACCGAAAAAGCAAAACAACAGGCGAAAGAAGCAACAGAAAATCATAACAAAAATCGTTCTGTTTTGATCCATGTTTTCATATTAAAATTAACAAACCATGAAGATTTTGTTGTAATATGGATGTTATTGAGGTAGAATTTTAAAGACTTCTTAATAGAATATTTTTGTTCTATCGTGAGCCAATGGTATAGTTTCTCCTACTTTATTGTCACATGAACTTTGTAACTACTATTCATTAGAGCTTCTTCACCTTTTATGTGCCTTGGACCCCTTTGGTAGTCTGGTAAAATTTGTGAGCTTATCTTGAAATCATGTTTTTAAATTAATAAAATGAGATACTCAGTGTTACAAAGGAAGCCAATATATTTCAATGTAAAAATATTTTTTATATTATAATAAAATGTGATTTTTACTAACATATTAAACTGGAAGATATAGCAATGGGTCTAATACCATTACAATATTGAGACATGGTTGAGCATAGATGATATTTCAAGAAATCTGTAATAACTAATATGATATGAATATATATATATAATATTTATTGGTGATAAAGTCATAGGTAGTGCTAATATTCTGGTGATTTTGTTATCTATATTCATAATTGAAGAAAATGCTAAATTTTTGCTAGAGATTTATGAAAATAAAGATATAACTTTTCTCATTAAAGTTAATTAACTTTCAGAATTCTGTCAATGAATTCCAGATTAACACCCCTAGTTTAGACAGTTATTAGTTATGTTGTGCTAAATACTAAACTGTTGAAATGAAAGGGTTAATGTACTCTCAACATGACATTTTGCCTCCTTTTTACTGGATCAGACCCAGATGCTATACCATATGTGGAAGTTGATTCTGAATAGATAATTTTTCAGGGTAGAAAAAAGAAAATATCTAATTTGTGCAAGGAGACATTTTACTGTGGGAAAAATTACTTTCTAGACATAGAGACCTCAGTTGGGAATTTCGGATTTAAATGGCATACATGGGAAAATAGTAAACTTGTAACACTGCTTTGGAGATTTTTTTTCTCTTAAGCAAAATTAAGGAGGTGTATGGAAATAAAAAAAAAAAAACATCAATATGGTTGAAGGTGAAACACTTTGTATTTGTATGGGTTTTTAACAGCAGCTTTGTGTCACATTTAGAATTTTAATGGTTTTATAAAAGGATTAAAGAACTCTCTTCAAATGAGTAGTTTTGTTCCTTTACAGAGAAATGCTTGTTATGGGAAGGAGCTGAAAATCTTTTCTTCCCTTTCTTAATTTTAGAGTGTAAGGCACCTCAAACCTCAGGTAGGTTAAATTATTGCACAAATATAGCCCATCTAATAAGTATAGAAGCCATGAAGTTTTGATGGGTGTGTGACCTGTACAGTCAAGAGGGTCTGGGCTTAGTTTAAATGTCCTGTTTTAACTGTCTTGAAATTCTTAGAAATTTGTATGTAACAGAAGTGAGTCTGTATTATGTATTTGGGGAGTTCAAAACCCAATTGAGTCGAATGTATGAAAGATGATATGTCTTGAGCTCTGTAATGTTTTGAACAATCAATAAAATAAAAAAAAAAGAAAATTTTGAACAAAAGACCTATATTTTAAATTTTGCACAGGTCTCCCAAATTATGTAGCAGGTCCTGGAATTGGGACTCTACTTAAGTCTCCTGATCTCTACATAAGACTACTTTATATTTCAATTATTAATTAATTTAAATTGGAAAAAAGTTGTATCATAGGGTTTAAATATTTTCTAACATGTAACTAGAAATTCACCATGTGGAATGTTTTTCTGTGGGGGAGCATTTGGAGGAGGATGGAATCACCTCTAGAGCTGCTTCAAAGTGAGTGTACACTCATGCATACATATACACAGATATAGATTTTAGTCATTTTTTTTGGTGTGTGTTGTGTGTTTGTATGTTTGTTGCCCATGTTGATCCTTGAGACTGTTAAGTTTCATGATTGTAGTGAGAGTGTTTCTTTTTGTTTTCCACGGTATTCTCAATGTCCTGCCTAGTATTAGTCAACCCTAACTTTTCATAACAGAAAAATCTTAAACTTCACTTTGTCTTTCAATTTGAGTTAACATTCTATATGCAAAAAGAAAACACAACAATCAAACCACAAAATGATTAAAATGTGCTTTATGTAAATGAGATGGGTTATTTCTAGATAGTTTTCATAGTAGCATAATAGGAAACATTATCCCTTCTTTTTTAGTGTGTATATATATACACACATGCTCACCTGCATTAAACACAACATTTGTACATAATTTTAGCTGCCTGTGAGTTTGATTTTATGCAGAAGTAAAAAACACACTTTTCTACTTGTTTTGATTGTATTTCATAGGATAACATATGAATTATTTGTCAGCTGACAAAAATGAATCCTGTACTTCTCTTCAAAGTGATCTAGTGTACAATATACAAATTATATTTGATTTGACTAGTAGCTAATTATTAACTCAGAGATAATTGCCTCAACCACAACAAAACCATTTCAAGTAGTTCATTGTGGAGACATGACAACTGCCGGGATGTGGTTTATAGTGGGCATCAAAATTTTTGTAGTTTCAAGGGTATAAACTTTTAACCCTTGTCATAAAATTCTTTTGATTTTTTTAGTCTTAATATGATTTAAAGTTGTTCACTTGAGATTGTCTAATGTCAGAATCTAAATTGTGTTCTTAGATGATATTGGTAAACAACAAGGAAGTGGGTTGGGATGTGGTTCTAATTACTGTGTTGCTCTTATTCCTCTATTGTGGCTCACAGAAATATCTTTTGGAAATTTTAATATCCTTCCTGTACTTAATTGTAACCAGGCTCCCTTAATTACTTGCTACAGTGAGTTAGTTTTTTAGCACCATAATTATTTTCATGTATAGGACATTTTGTTGTTTGCGATACCACAGTCTTTTCCCCAAATTTGTATATTGTTTGTACTAAGTATATCTGAACATATTACTCATTATTTTAGAATATTTTTGTCAATAAACTTTTGAATCTCAAACAAGTATATTTTTTCACTTGAATTTTAGAAATTCATATTTTTGTATCTTCATATACCTATGCTTCAGCTTTCCATTTTACTCTTTTTCAAAAGTAATTTTATTCAGGTGTATATCACAAATAAAATTCACCCTATACTGCTACAGGTTAATGATTTTTAGTAAATTGAGTGAGTTATGCAACTATTACTATAAATTATTGTTGGAAATGAATACTCATATAATCACCTCTGTTCTGGGCTGAGGTGGACAAGTGTTGAGTAGGTAGAAATCGGGCAGGAAATGACTCAGGAGAATTCAGGGTCCATTTTGACTTCTGTGGATCCTAGGAACTTTTGTGTTGCTGGGCTCTTTCCTATATAATAATACTTTAAAAATATGTTCTATTACAGCATTGATATGAAAGTACAAAAATGACACTTTATTATGTGTTTATTATTATTACATTCATTTTTATTCTGATTTTAAAACAAAATTAAGACATTTTTGTATACTGCTAAATAATTGTGAATATTGGACATTGTGCCTAATCATGAAGTCATTGTGAAGAATTATGTTGAGAATAATCAATAAGTTGGCAAATTTGTAGGGAGAGAAAGTTATATATTCAAGAAAGAAGTGAAGACTGAAAGCTGAGCTTATGCTGAAGCAGTGGCAGAGGACTGAAGAGTAGAGAGGCACATAGTCTATCACCAAAGAAACTGAGACAATAGAGTGTAGAAAGAGAGCTCAAGAAATTAGGGAACTGTAGTTTTTGGTTTTTAAAATATTTTTATTAGTTGTTGATGGACCTTTATTTAATTTATTTATTTACATGTGGTGCTGAGGATCGAACCCAGTGCCTCACATGCTAGGCAAGTGCTCTATCACTGAGCCACAACCCAGCCCAGGGAACTGTAGTTTTGCATTTGAATTTCCCTTTTTTGGGGTGGGGGGAGTCTGTTGCTTTCCAGTCTTAAAGGTGCTTATCAGCCTAACAATACTTAGTTTTCTGTGGCCAATTTTTAAAAAATATTTATTTTTTAGTTGTACACAACACCTTTATTTTGTTTATTTATTTTTATGTTGTGCTGAGGATCAAACCCAAGGCCTCTCACATGCTAGGCAAGTGCTCTACTGCTGAGCCACAACCCCAGTCCAACCAATTTTTAATTCTAGTCCAGCTTTCATTCTTTAACCAGCATTTTCCCTAAGACCTGTCATTACTCTATTGACTTAAACTCAGGGGATACAAATGAATATTAACATTAATCTGCAGTACCACATGAATTTGAGGATTTTTTTTAATTCTACGAAAAATGTCATTAGAATTTTAATAGGGATAACATTCAACCTGTAGATTGCTTATTACTTTAACAATGAATAATATTTTAATCCATGAATACAGGATATCTTGTCATTTGTTTGTGTCTTTTTCCATTTTTTCACAATGTTTACAGTTTTCAGTGTATGGATTTTTCATCTCTTGGTTAAATTTTGTTTTGTTCTTGATATTATTATAAAAGAGTTCATGTTCTTGATATTTTTTGGATATTTTGTTGTCAGTATATACAATGCTCTTGGTTTTTATAAATTGATTTTGTATCCTGCAACTGTGCTTATTAGTTGTAACAGTTGTTTGGTGCAGTTTTTAGGGTTTTCTGTATATTAAATCATGTTATCTGCAAACAGGAAATTTTACTTCTTCCCTTCTAGTTTGCATACTTTTTATTTGTCTTGTTTAATTGTTCTGTCTAGGACTTCCAGTATCATATTAAACAGGAGCATTCTTCTCTTGTTCCTGATCTTACAGGAAAAACTTACACCTTTTCACTGTTATGCTCTTCATTGCATGCTTGTGGTATATGGCCTTTATTGCATCAAAGTATATTTCTTTTATACCTGATT